AGCTGGCCCATCGCTCACCTGGCAAATGCCACATAAAATGGGCGTGGCGGTTGTGGCTTTAGTTCTCCACACATGCTGCTGTCATCTGGGGAGACAGCACCTCAAGTGAGACGATGTCTCCATCGCATCTGCCTGTGAGCAAGTCTGTGGGGACATCTTGAGTTTTGATTGATGTAGGAGACCCAGCCCACCTGCTAAATTACATCAGAAAGTAGGCTGAGCCAGCCAGTAAGCAGCTGTCCTGGTTTCGGCGTCAGCTCCTGCCTCCAAGTTCGTGCTTGAGTTCCTGTCCTGACTTCCCGTCATGAAGGGATGTGAAAGATGAGACTAACCCTTTCCTCCCCAGGGTTTGGGTAGTGGCATTTATCGCAGCAATAGTAAGCAAACTGGTATTCTCTATAACACCAGCACTCAGGAGGTAAAGGTTCAGGCGTAGCCTGGGCTACATGGGAACCTTTCTCAAATCAAAACACAACAAAAAGTAATAGGAGAGAAAAGACAGTTTTCAGCCGGGCGTTGGTGGCGCACGCCTTTAATCCCAGCACTTGGGAGGCAGAGGCAGGTGGATCTCTGTGAGTTCGAGACCAGCCTGGACTACAAGAGCTAGTTCCAGGACAGCCTCCAAAGCCACAGAGAAACCCTGCCTCAAAAAAAAAAAAAAAAAAAAAAAAAGACAGTTTTCTCTAGTGGAGTTGCCACACCACACCAAGGATGAGTTGAAAGAAAAGTGTCCTCTTACGCTTGCAGGCTACAACAATGAGCTATCACCAGTGTCCTTCAGAGAGGGTCTGTCAGCGCTGCAACTATGATGTGAGGCTCTTCACAAGGGGCTGAAAGAACTCCTCAGCCTGCTTGTACCCCTGAGGCGACAGCAGCCCAGGGTAGCAGCCTGGCCACCCTGGGGTCACTCTAGGGAGTGAGTAGACTCTGTACACTCAATGACCTCAGGCACCCTAGGAAGAAGTGGCCAAGAGATAGAAAAAGAGAAGTCCCCATACAGGTCACCAAAATGCCACTCCAGGGACAGCACTGACAGGCGGTGAATTTGCCAAGACAGCAGAAGGCGGTGGCAGAGTTTATTAGATAACTGAGGGGAAGCCACAGCAGGACAGCAGAAACACCCTGCCTGGAGGGGTGATCTAAAAAAACAAAAAACCTTTAAAACATCTTAAAATTATTACTTTATTTGTTTTTTGAAAGCAGTTTCTGTATAATCTTGGCCGTTCTTGTCCTGACTCTTTCATGACTACCAAAGGAACTTACCTAAATCTCTGTCCCTCTAAAGAACTCAAGATTCAAAGGTTGAGGTGGAATTCTGCTCCTCAGAGAGGCTGAATAGCAAGTAGCTCACCTCCATCCTTCCTGACTCTCTCTAGAAGTCCTCATGCGGCTCCTTGACCCTCCTTTTAAACCCTTCTCCACCTGGTTCCTCCCTACCACTTCCTGTCAGCTAGTTGCTGACTCAATCTCCTAACCACAGGTGAATTTTATTTAATCAGTTACATCTTTGCATCATTAAATAAATTTTCCAGAGCACAAACACAAGTAACAAACCTTGTGTTGGTTTACCAGAGAATGCCCAAGTCTCTTTCTTCCTTGGCATCTCTCTCACAACTCACTCTCTGGGTTCCTCTCCCAGAATTCTCCTAGTCTGGTAGCCCCGCCTGTACTTCCTGCCTGGCTACATCCCGCTTGATAATTGGACAAAACAGCTTTATTTATCAACCAGTAAGAAAAACATATTCCAGCCAGGCGTTGGTGGCACATGCATTTAATCCCAGCACTCGGGAGGCAGAGGCAGGCGGATCTCTGTGAGTTCGAGGCCAGCCTGATCTATAAAGATCTATAAGAGCTAGTTCCAGGATAGCCTCCAAAACAATACAGATAAACCCTGTCTGGGAAAAAGAGAGAGAGAGAGACAGAGACAGAGAGAGAGAGAGAGAGAAACATATTCACAGCATTCAGAATGACATACCCCATTTCCTTGCTTTTCTTTTTTAGACTTGGTCTCACTATTTAGCTCAGGCTGGCCTCTGCTTCCTGAGTGGTGAGACTAAAGGTGTGCACTACCAGACTGGGCTACCCTTTTTACAAAAGTGCTGTTATTTTTGTGTATGAGTGATTTGACTGCATGCGTGTATGTGTGTGCAACACATACATCCCTGGTGCTCAACGAGGGCATCTGACCTTCTAGAACTGGAGTTACAGATGGTTGGGAGCTGCCCTGTGGGTTCTTGGAACAGAACCCAAGTCCTCTTCCAGAACAAGGGTACTTGACCACTGCAGTCTCCCAGCCTGAGTCTTTTCAGAGAGACTTCCTCTCAGGTGAAGGGAGATTCTTTTTTAGACTTATTTATTTACTATGTATACAGTGTTCTGCCTGCATGAATGCCTGCAGGCCAGAAGAGGGCACCAGATCTCACTGCAGATGATTGTGAGTCACGGTGTAGTTGCTGGGAATTGAACTCAGGACCTCTGGAATTGCAGCCAGGGCTCTTAACCTCTGAGCCATCTCTCCAGCTCCCAAGGCCGAGATTCTTGACTGCACTACAGAAAGGGATTTTGGGATATGTCAGACAGAGTTTCTCTGTGTAGCCCTGCTGTCCTGGAACTTGCTCTTGTACACCAGGCTGGTCTCAAACTCACAGAGATCCGCCTGCCTCTGCCTCCCGAGTGCTGGGATTAAAGGCGTGCGCCACCACCGCCCGGCGGTTTTGGGGGTTTCTGAAAGTAAGTTTCTATGTTTTTTAAGAGCCATCCCCTTCTTCTTAGTAAGTGAAATCATAGAGGTTTCCGGAAGGACTCTGGGGAGGACGGCAGCTGACGAGGTAAACTCGAGACTGTAAGATTGCACAAGGGAGTGGAGACAACTCTTCACTGTGAACAAAGGTTCTGGGCTTATTTGCAAGATTTTCTGAAAGTTTTGGGTTTTCATGTGAGGAAAGAAAATGCCAGAGCTTGCTGGTGGCCACTGCATAGCTGGTTGCTGTGTTAATATTCTGTCTACATAGAAGGGTATTGTCCCCACTGTCACAGCAGCACAGCCAACGCTGTTAGCTGCACGTGACTCTTGACTCTCTGCTGTCTGGAGACTATAGATGCTGACTTCTCGTGAGCATTTCCCTGTCAATCTTCCCTCCCTCCCTCCCTCCCTCCCTCCCTCCCTCCCTCCCTCCCTCCCTCCCTCCCTCCCTCCCTCCCTCCCTCCCTCCCTCCCTCCCTCCCTCCTACTGAACCCTTTCTAGCCAGCCTGACTTCACTATGTAGTTGAGGATGACCTTGAACTCCTGATCCTCAGGCCTCCACTTCCAGCATGCTTCACCCGGCCTGGTTTATATTACGCTAGATATGGAGCCCAGGAAATTTTGCATGCTAGGGAAGAACTCCATTCAGTGAACCAAAGCCCCAGACATTATGTGGTTTTTGTTGCTGCCGTTGACCTCTTTAAAAAAAAAAATTGACACAAGGTCTCAGTATTGTTTGTGTTTTACTCTTTTGGCCTTTTTAAGAGGCCCACCACCCAGTTCCCAAGTAAATCACACATGGAGGCTTATTCTTAGTTATGAGTTCCCAGCCTTAGCTTGGCTTGTTTCTTTCTTTTTTCTTTTTTTTTTTTTTTGAAGTGTCCTGGAACTCGCTCTGTAGACCAGGCTGGCCCGGAACTCACAGAGCTCCGCCTGCCTCTGCCTCTCAAGTGCTGGGATTAAAGGCGTGCGCCACCATGCCTGTGTTTTTGTTTTTTAGTTACGTGTTTTCGGATGATTCTTTGTGTGTCTGTGCATGTGAGTACAGTGACCTCAGAGGCCGGGGGAAGGCATCAGACCCTGGTAGCTGGAATTACAGGTGGTTGTGAACATCCACGTGGATGCTGGGAACTGGGTTTTTTTTTGAGGGAGGGGTTGAGACAGGGTTTCTCTGTCCTGTCCCAGCTGTCCTGGAACTCCCTCTGTAGACCAGGCTGGTCTTGAACTCACAGAGATCCACCTCCTCTGCCTCCCGAGTGCTGGAAGTAAGGTGTGTGCCACCATGCTCAGCTCTGGCTGACTTTCTATTATCCCTTAACAAGAATTTTTTTAGATGTATTTATTTTATTTATGCCTGCATGTGTGTAAATGTACCACATTCTGGCCTGGTGTTTAGGGAGATCAGAAGTTGTCAGATTGCCCAGAACTGGAGTTACAGGCAGTTGTGAGCTGGCATGTGGGTGCTGGGAATCAAATTCAGGTCCTCTGCAGGAGCAGGGACGTGCTTTTAACTGGGGAGTCATCTCTCCGACTGCACAGACTCTCTGTCCAGTGCTTGGGCTCCCGGCCTTCGCCAGCACACCTGCTCTGCCTGTCTCTTTGGCCTGCCGTCTGTGGACCCACCGTCAACCACGGCTCCTCAGCCTCCCTCTCACCTGTCTATACCATACTCTTAGTATGCAGCCCAGGTTGGCTTTGAACTTCTGGCCTCCCTGACTCCCCCACCTGAATGCTGGAATTAGGAGCATGGGCTGCACCAATCTTCCTTCTACTTTACTGTCTGTATACCTGTCAACCTACCTACCTGCAGTGTCCATATTTCTGTGTGTGTGTCCTGACAAGATCTTGTGTGGGCAGCAGGGTGGGAGACAGGGCTTTAGAGAAGGTTCGCACAGAGAGGGTATGCGGCGGGGTTGGGCTGCCTCACTCGAGTATTGGGGTCACATAGGAGAAATCAGAGCAGGCTTACAGCTAGCTGGAGGAGGGCTGTAGTGTTAGACAAGCTCTCAGTGACTGAGCCACACCCCCAGCCTACAAGTCCTGGGGTGTCTTAAAGCAACATGCACGGTACAGGACTCTTCAGGGCCGCAAGTCTATGAAAACCCTCAGGATGACTAAACATGGAAGCTGCTCTGGGAGGCAGGCCAAACTGACTATCATCCCAGGAGGCTTCCAACCAAATACCACAGGACGTTCAAGAAAGGCTGGGCAGAGGCCCAGGGGCGTGCCTAGCAGCTAGGGGGTGGAGTTGGATGTCCTCAGAGTTCCACAGTTCTGTGTACAGACAGGATGTAAGAAAAGAACCAGGGGCTCCAGGCAGAGATCTGCAAGTTACAGGCAAAGAGGGAAGCAGGCTCCTGTGAACAACACAGGCCCAGGCGGAGGGTCGGAGGAGGAGGCCAAGGCCTGGGTTCCTAGGTTTGATGGGCCAGCACCCCAGGGTCTGAGGGAGGAGGCTGTGCCTGGACTCCTGGGTCTGAGGGAGGAGGGCTGGCCCCTGGGTCTGAGGGAGGAGGCTGGACCCCTGGGTTTGAGGGAGGAGGTTGTGGCCTGGACTCCGGAGGGAGAGAGAATGGGCTGGCTCTGAGGGAGGAGAGCAGGAACTTGGGCACTCGAGTCTGAGGGAGCAAGGCTGGGCCTAGACTTTTGGGTCTGAGGGAGGAATTCATGGGACTGGACTCCTGAGTCTGTGGGAGGGGGCTGAGGTCTGAGTCTCTGGGAATGAGGAAGGAGGGTAAAGCTTAGTCTTGGGTCTGAGGGAGGAGAAGAGGAAATAACAGAAGTCTGAGACAAATTTTGGTCCGTCTAGTTCTGTCATTAATTAACTAAAGTGGATCAAATGAGGAGGTGAAAGTTCACACAGGAGCAGGGCACTCCTGTCACCTTGGACTGGGTCCCCATCCCACCACCCGGCGTCCCGGTCTAGGCGGAGTTCACAGGGACCTTGTGAAGAATCAGCAGGGCAAGGGCCAGAGGAGTCACGTGTCCCTCCTGCTTCAGGTTGCCCAGTCAGGATGGGGATGCCCCAGCCCTGGGTCCTCAGCCTCTTGCTGGTCCTCCTGCCTCGGACCTGGGGTGCAGGTAAGAGGCCACCTGGATCTGGAGTAAGCAGAGGGGACAGGAAAAGGAGCCAGAGAGCGGAAAAGAGACAGTAAGCCAGGGGTGGCAGCGGCAGCGCCGCCTTTAACCCCAGCACTCGGGAGGCAGAGGCAGGCGGGTCTCTGTGAGTTCGAGGCCAGTCTGGTCTACAGAGCGGAGTTCCAGGGGCTACAAAGAGAAACCCTGTGTCAGAAAAACAAGAGGGTGGGGGGATCTGACAAAACAGCTTTTCGTGCTGTCCTGGCTCTCCTGGAAATTCCACTGTGGACATTTTTCTCAGCTTCTGAGTCAAACACACTTGGCGGTCTCAGGATATCTGCCCCTCCCTTTCTGGGTCTCACTGCCCCTTAGCCTGAGGTCAGGTTTCCACTGTGCATCTCCGTGGGGTGCAGGCCAGGCCTCACCGACTCTCCCCTTTTCTCTTCACAGATACCCGTCCCCCACTGCTGTACCACCTCACGGCTGTGTCCAACCCATCCAAGGGCAGTCCCTCCTTCTGGGCCACGGGTTGGCTGGGCCCTCAGCAGTACCTGAGTTATGATAGTCTGCGCCAGGAGGCTCAGCCCTGCGGGGCTTGGGTGTGGGAAAACCAAGTGTCCTGGTACTGGGAGAAGGAGACCGTGGACCTCAGAAGCAAACAGGAGCTCTTCCTGAAGGCCCTCGGAGCCCTGGAAACCCAGATTAGTGGGCAGGAAGGTGTGTGCAGCAGCCTAGGGCTGAGGAGGGAAAGTGGTTCTGCACTCCTGGGCTGGGGAAGGAGGCTGGGGCCCTAGGTCTGAGGGAGGAGGAGACAGCAAGGCTGCCCTAGTCCTCAGTGCGCTCCCCTGTGTGTTGGCGTCTAGGTGACTTCACACTACAGGGCCTGCTGGGCTGTGAACTGAACCCCAACAATTCTTCATTACCCACGGCTGTGTTCGCCCTCAATGGCGAGACCTTTATGGAGTTCAACCCAAGCATTGGCAACTGGAGTGGGGAGTGGCCTGAGACGGAGCTCGTTGGTAATCTGTGGATGAAGCTGCCTGAGGTGGCCAAGAAGGAGAGCGAGTTCTTGCTGACTTCCTGCCCTGAGCGGCTGCTAGGCCACCTGGAGAGGGGCCTTCAGTACCTGGAGTGGAAGGGTGAGCCCATCTCCAGCCCCTCCTCTTAGCCATGCTTGAGACTCTCCCAGCATTCCCCTGTGTACATTCCCACGCAGTCCAGTGGACCTGTTTAAGATGAGGTCTCACTTAACCCAGCCAACGCTATGTAGTGGTGAATGATCTTGAATTCTTGATCCTCCTGTCTCCTTCCAAGTTCTGGGTTGACAGAGGCATGTTGCCACACCCAGCTAATTGTTTGTAGTCCTGGCTGGCCTTAAACTCACAATGACCTGCCAGCCTCTACCTCCTGAATGCTGGGACTCAAGGAGTGTGCCACCATGCCCAGCTGTTCTTTCTTTCTTTCTTTCTTTCTTTCTTTCTTTCTTTCTTTCTTCCTTCCTTCCTTCCTCTCCCTCCCTCCCGCCCTTCCTCCCTCTCTCTCTTTCTCTTCTTTCTTTCGTTGTTGTTGTTGTTGTTATATTTAGATAATCTCATAATCTAGACCAGGTAACCTTGAATTTATCCTTTTGATCTCAGCCTCCCAAGCTAGGGTTTTCCATATCTTTTTCTTCTTGTTAACTTCTGAGAGTTCTTTATATATTGTGGACCAAGCCCGTTATCAAATAAGTGTTTCAAACATGCTTCCTCACCCATTTTTCTTTTATTCATTTAAAGATATCTTCAAAAAAAGTGGAATTCCTTCTTTCTTTCTTTCTTTCTTTCTTTCTTTCTTTCTTTCTTTCTTCCTTCCTTTTTTGGAGGCTGTCCTGAAACTAGCTCTTGTAGACCAGACTGGCCCCAAACTCAGAGATCTGCCAGCCTCTGCCTCCCAAGTGCTGGGATCAAAGGTGTGCTCCACCACCACCACCTGGCTTTTTTTCTTTTTTTAAAGGTTTATATATTTTGTGTATGAGTCCTCTGTCTGCGTAATGAGATCCCATTACGGATGGTTGTGAGCTGCCATGAGGAGCTGGGAATTGAACCCAGGTCCTCTGAAGATCAGTCGGTGTTCTTAACCCTGATCCATCTCTCCCGGCCCCTGGAAAGTGGAACGTTTTCATTCATCACTTTTCTCTCTTGAGCTCTGTGCTTTTGTTAGTATGTCTTGGAGGTCATTCTCAACCTCAAATGACATAGTCTTTCAGTGTATTTGGGGGTTTTACAGCTTATGTTCTACATACAGGTCCCTTCTCTCTTGCTTTCCTTCCTAACAAATTGGATGTGAAGTTTTGTTTTTCCGCCAAAGTTTTACCGTGTCTGGATTTGAGTGTGTGTGCTCCTGAGCATGGAGGCCAGATACACAGCCTCAGGTGTTGTTCTGAGGGCTTTCCACCTTTTTCTGAAAGACAAATTTTAGAGCTGGACACAGCTCAGTAATTAAGAGCACATAGTGATCTTGCAGAGGACCTGAGTTCAGTTCCCAGAACCCACATCAGGCAGCCCACAGCTGTCCATAACTCCAGTGCCAGGGGGCTTTGATGCCAGTGGCCTCCATGGCCACCTGCACTGAGGTACACACACATACATGTGCACATAGTAAAAATAAAATAGTTTTATTTGTGTACCTGTGTGTCTGTGCACAGATGAGCACAGCTGCTCATCAGGGCCAGGAGAGACATTATACCCCTGGAGCTGGAGTTACACATAGCTCTGGTGTGCCCTCTGTGGGTGCTTGGAACTGAACCCGGGTCCTCTGGAAGAGCAGCAAATACTCTTGACCCCGAGCCGTGGCTCCAGCCCCAGCCCCTTTTGCTTTTTATTCTGCCCCTCGATTCATTGACTCCTTCTGGGATTGAGGTCAGACCCTTTCTCGTGCTGGGCAAGAACTCTGCCACTGAGCCATGCCTGTCTCCCATCTTTTGGTTTTGTTTTGCTTTTCTCCAGACAGGGTTTCTCAATGTAACCCTGGAGGTCCTGGAACTCACTCTGTAGACCAGGCTGGTCTCGAACTCACAGAGATCCACCTGTCTCTGCCTCCGGAGTGCTGGGATTAAAGGTGTGCACCACCACTGCCTGGCTATCTTTTAAGTTTATAAAACATCTCTTAGACTTATACTTACCTATTAATGATTTTGTCTATGTCTGTGTGTGTGTGGTGTGCACATGTATGGGGGTGTCACCTGTCCACATGCACAGAGACCAGAGCAGGACAGTGGGCGTCCTCTATCACACTCCATCTTGTTCTTTGACATAGACTCTACCACTGAACCTGGAGCTGCACTGGCGCCCAGCAGCCCCGGGGCCCTGTTTCCCCGGCCTCTGCCCTCAGGGCCAGGTGCATGTCTGCGTCTTTGCAGAGTGCTGAGGACTTGAACTTGGGTTCTCGTGCCTGTGCAGCAAACACTTACCTGCTGAGCCATCGCCCCAGTGTGAGGAATTACGGCTGGATTGTAGTCCTTTGTGGGACTGGTCCTACCGTCTTCACTCATCTGCTGTTGGGTGTTAGGTTGTTTTTGTACTTTGGCTGTTTTGACAGATTCCACAATGGAGAATAAGGACTAGCATTTTTTTTTTTTTTTTTGGTTTTTATGAGACAGAGTTTCTCTGTATTGTTTCGGAGGCTGTCAGTCCAGCCCGGCCTCGAACTCACAGAGATCCGCCTGCCTCTGCCTCCCGAGTGCTGGGATTAAAGGCGTGCGCCACCACTGCCCGGCGGGACTAGCATTTTTATGGGATCTAGATTTCAATTTCTGGATAAGTGCCCACAAGACAGTTGGGTTCATTTTAGAAAAAAGGAATGATTACTTTTATTTTGTGTGTGGGTGTTGTGCCTCCATGTATGTCTGTGTAGCATGTACATGCAGTGCTCACATAGGCCAGAAGAGGGGATCACATCCCTGGAATCGGAGTTAGAGATGGTTATGGGTTAGGGGAATTGAACCCAAGTTCCCTGGAAGAGCAGCCCCTACTTTTGCCTGCTGAGTCTTTTCTCCAGCAGGAAACTCCATGACATCTTAGTGTGGTGGTTACATACACTCCCGAGGCAGGCCAGGTCTATCTCTGAGCCAGCTACAACTAAATGAAACTACGATACCTTGTAGCTGAACTGTTCACACGTCCCTTGACAAGGAGGGTTCCAGTTTCTGCAGGTGCTGGCTACACTTGATACTTTCTATCTGTATGTGATTCTGTTTTTCCATAACAGACTTCTGTTACCAGGTGTAAGGTTGTGTTACTGTTCCCTTCCTTCCATACTTACAAGGCAGGCAGGGGCTCTACCACAGAGCCATCCTCATTGGAGGATCTAGGCTCTACCACTGAGCATGCTTCTGGCCTCCTTTTACTCAAAAATATTTCTGTGGTTACATTTATTTGTGTGTGTGTGTGTGGGTGTGGGTGTGCACACTCATCCCATAGCATGGGAACCTTGGAGGTCGGATCTCTCCTTGTGCCATGTAGGTTCTGGGGTTAGAACTCAGGTCTTCAGGCTTGTTTGCAAGTGCCTTTACCCACTGAGTCACTTACCAGATGTTCATTACTAATTTATGTGTGTGTGTGTGTGTGTGTGTGTGTGTGTGTGTGTGTGTGTTGTGCATTTGACCACAGATGCCAGAAGAGGAGAGATCAGATCTGCAGCTGAAGTTACGGGGGGTTATGAGTCACCCACTGGGAGCTGAACTAAGCTCTGTAGACAGAGCAGCAAATGCTCTTAGCTGCTAAGCCATCCCTCAGTGGTCCTGCTTTGACTTTTTATTTTGAGATTGGGGGTCACACTAGGTTTCGCAGGCTAGCTTTGAACTCATTCTGTGGGTGCCAGGCTCACAGGCTTGGCCGTGCCGCTTGGTGTCTACGGCGGTTAGGGTGCTTCCTTTTTTCTGTTAAGCAAAAGCCCCGGCTGGGCTGACACTAGCGGCTGAACCCTCAGGATCAGCACTGGAAAACCAGAGAAACACAGGTCCCTCAGCACCACCCACAGGAAGTCATCCTCATAGAAAACAATAGTAACCACTGGCCAGGACACAGAAGTGCTGACCGAGGTCCGGTCTCTGTGGCCGAGCCCAGGGTGCCCCAGCTCTTACCAGCTGCCACGAGGCCCCTCTTTCGGGGAAGCTGCCTGGCTTCCTCTTCCTAAGAAATTGTCAGCTTATTTTCTGCTGAGTACCTGCAGCTGAGGACCCTAACTGTTCCACCCCGGATGGAGGAACCGCCTCTGCCCAGCACAGCCCTGCTGGGTCCCCAGATCCCCATGGGTTTGTCCTTTGTTTAGGGTTTCATTGCTGGTGATTCAGGCCTTGTATAGCCCAGGCTGGCTTCAAACTTCTTATGTAGCCAAAGATAACCCTGAACTCCTGATCCTCCACCCTCCACCTATGGAGCGCTGAGATTACAGGTGCACACCAGGCCAGTGAGCTGGTGACTGAACCCAGAACTTCATGAATGTCAGCACTCTGCAAACTGGGCCACATCCCAGCTGCAATTTATTTATTTATTCACCATGGGTCTCTTTTGTTTGTTTTTTTGAGCAGGGTTTCTCTATGTAGCCTTGACTGTCCTGGTACTTGCTATGTAGACCAGGCTGGTCTGGTGCCCACAGAGACCCGCCTGAGACAGTGTCCAACGCATTTGGAACTCACGGTTTTCCTGTCTTAGTTCCTGGGGCACTTGCATTGCTGGCGTGGCATGCAAGGACAGGCACATCGTCAATGTGCTCCCAGGGCCTAGAACAGGCATAGCACTAGAGAGTGTGCAGCTTTTTTCCATTTAGGAATGTGCAGATGGGGGTGGGGCTCAGTTGGTTCAGGGCTTGCCTGACATGTGTGAAGCCCTGGGCTTCATCCCCAGCACCCCATAAACCAGGCGTGGTGGCACGTGCCTGCCATCTCTTAGCACTAAGGAAGTGGCAGAAGGAAGATCAGGAATTTGAAGTCACCCTCATCTGCACAGTGAGGTCAAGGTCAGTCTGGGCTACAGTGAAATTCAGTCTCACACAGACAAATGTGCCTGGGGAGATGCTTGGTGTGCATGAAGACCTGGGTTCTGAGCCCCGGCACACTTGCAGAGGCTGGATTTACTACTGCAAGTCTGTACCTGCTGAGAGGGGTCTGGTGGAGACAGGATCACAGGGTCTCACCTGCAGCTAGTGTAGCCAAAGGGGGAACCCCAGGTTTAGTGTGTGTGTGTGTGTGTGTGAGAGAGAGAGAGAGAGAGAGAGAGACAGAGAGACAGAGAGAGACAGAGAGTAAATGGGGGGAAGATGGCTAAGTGGTCAAGATCACTTGCTATTCTTTTTTTGTTGTTGTTTTTGTTTTTGTTTTTTTTCGAGACAGGGTTTCTCTGTATTATTTTGGAGGCTGTCCTGGAACTCACTTTGTAGACCAGGCTGGCCTCGAACTCACAGAGATCCGCCTGCCTCTGCCTCCCGAGTGCTGGGATTAAAGGCGTGCGCCACCAACGCCTGGCCACTTGCTATTCTTACAGCATACCTGAATTTGGTCCCCAGCACCCACAGGGCAGCTCACAGCCATCTGTAACTCCAGGTCTAGGGGACCTAATGTTCGATTCTGGCCTCTGTGGGCACTGCATGCAGATGGTGCAGAGACACACATGCCCAAAACACCCTTACACAGAGTGACGCATGAATGGAAAAAGGCAAAGAACTGTAGAGGAAGACACCTGCTGTGGACCTCAGCCGTGACACATGTGCACACGTGCACACGCACACACGCCAGAATCAGGGGTGGGGGTAAAGGAGCTGTTTTGGTGGGCTCAGCAGGGGACCTTCTAGGGTAGCAGGGTTGGGTGTCTGTCACTCTGGGAAGCCCCTGGGTCAGCACAGTGCTGATATGGGGAAGCGGTGTCTGTCCATCGCCAGTTTCACACTGAGCCTTGGGAGGGGGTCACAGCCAGGCTTAACTGCCCCCCCCGTGTCCCCACAGAGCCACCCTCCATGCGCTTGAAGGCCCGTCCTGGCAACTCTGGCTCCTCCCTGCTGACCTGTGCTGCTTTCTCCTTCTACCCCCCTGAGCTGAAGCTTCGGTTCCTGCGGAGTGGGCTGGCCGCAGGCTCTGGGAACAGCAGCTTTGGTCCCAACGGTGACGGCTCTTTCTACGCCTCGTCATTGTTGGAGGTCAGAAGAGGAGATGAACACCATTACCAGTGCCAGGTGGAGCACAAGGGGCTACAACAGCCTCTCACTGTGGACCTAGGTGAGGCTGCTCCTCCAGCCTCCGTGTCTTCTTGCGGCTCCTGGCTGCTGACCCTGTTAACCCCTGTGGCCAGTCCTCCTGATGCAACCATCTTCTGTCTTGCTGTTGCTGGTGTCCATAGCTTCTGACCGCTCACTTTGCCTCTGAGAGTCCTTGCTTCGGCTGAACCCCATTTGCTTGGTGCCTCTCCTTCCTCAGTCGGGTTCTCACACAGCCTGCTCATAGCTATGTCCTTGCAGTATGGCTATTGTTCTTTAATATATATATATATATATCTGGGCGGCGGTGGCGGTGGCGGCGGTGGCAGACCCATGTAATTCCAGCCCGGGCATATATATTTAATTTCCCCACATTCTCTATATGGGAGGGGAAAGTAGAGGTGTGCTCGCCGTGGCATACTTGTGGAGATTACAGGACAACTCATGGGAGTTAGTTTTCCCCTTCCGCCATGTCTGTCACAGGGATCAAGCTCGGGTCGTTAGTCTTTGTAGCAAAGACGAATGCCTGTACTCACTGAGCCATCTTAGCACACTAAGATGTGTTTTAGAGGGTCAGGGTCGGGTCTCCTGGCCCTGGATATGGTACTGGGATCGCACTCTGGTCTCCTGGAAGAGCAGCAAGCGCTCTTACCAGCTGAGCTGCTTCTCCAAGCACCAGTGTGGCTAGTTCCTGTGTCCAGTGTCTGCACACGCCACCCTCCCAGTGGGGCTCCTCAGCTGCTTTCTTCCCCGTGCAGATGCTCCAGCCAGATCTTCGGTGCCTGTGGTCGGAATCATTCTTGGCTTCTTGGTGGTCTTAGTGGCTGCTGCAGGGGGCGTGCTGCTGTGGCACAGGATGCGCAGCGGACTGCCAGGTGTGTGCCAGACGGGGAGGGGCGGTGGGGGCGCAGAGACCCAGAGAGAAAGAGGGGAGGGAGGCGACAGAGAGGCCCTGGCCACCTTGGAGAAAGAGCTGGGGACAGAGACCAGAGCGGCCCCCATGGTGTGTGGGGCGGTGAGACCTTGGCTACAGATGCTGACCTCTGTTCCTCTCTCTTAGCCCCATGGCTCTCCCTCAGCGGCGATGACTCAGGTGACCTGCTACCCGGTGGCAACTTGCCCCCTGAGGCTGACCCTCAGGGTGCAAACACCATTCCAGCCACTTCCTGATGCCAACTCAGGCCGCCAATACCCATTGCAGCATTTGGTGCTGTGTGACCTCCTGAACTCCTGGCGTCTCTGAGCCTCCTGAGGGAGCCCTGGGCCGGATGTCCTCCCTGTGGACACCCCCTTTTGTGTACTGCCTCAGTTTCCCTTCCTAATGTACATGGCTCTTTTCCATCTCCACATAAATTTGGGCCCAAATCTGTGTGTGCACTGTTATTGTCAAGTTTCAGGCAGCGGGAACAACGGAAGGAGACTGGGAAAGATCTTAGACTCCTCTCGGTTGCCGTGGTAGAGCCTGCCCATTTTATAAGCTGAGTTGTGTGTTTTTAGTCATAAATGTATATGATTCATACCTGCACTGTGCCAGGCATTTCAAGGAATTCAACTCTTGTTCTTTCTCCTCTTTTTTTTTTTCTTTCTTTCTTTTTTTTTTTTTGTGAGATAGCATCTCTGTCCAATCTAGCTGTCCCTGGAACTCGCTATGGCATACCAGGCTAGCAACGAACTCATAGAGATCCGCCTGCTTCTGCCTTCCAAGTATTGGAATAAAAAGGCATGAACCACCAACCCCTGCCTCCTCCTTAAACCAATCTGAGAAATAGAAAAAAATTGGTTAAAGTAATACATTTCCCCTAATCCTCTGGGGCCAGAGCCTCTGGAGGTAGCAGAGAAGGTTGCCCATAAGCCTGCTGGGAGTTGTAGTTCAAAACTGCCTTATCGCCTACCACGCCTTCCAGGCTGGCGCTCGGCCTTGTGGACGTGGCGAGGGGCTCCCGGGACGCTCTGGGCGCTCATTGACGCCGCCCCTGAGTCCCTCCTGCGCCGCTATTGGTTAGAGGGCGGGGGCTTCTGGGCTGCCAGGGGCGGAGCTTGACTGGCGCCGCGCCAGCCTGGGCATCTTTGCGTGAAAGCGAGTTCATCGCGGGGCGCGAACCCAGGCCTGGTAACGGGAGTAAGGGTGGGGAGCTAGCCAGGGAGGGGGTTTCTGGTGGGGGTCCGGGCAAGGCTGGGAGCCACACACAGGACCCTGCATGATGCTCTCAGCCACCACCATTCCCTGAACTGCGCGCGGAGCGTGCCACGTCTGCAACTGAAACACCCCCTTCCCCGCTGGGGCTCGGGTTCTACCCCCTAGTCGGCTTTACCTCCAGACTCCCTATGCTTTCTGCCGCCTTTTCCTGAGCCCCAGACTTTGTAGCCTGCTTGTAGGTGCCATGCCTTAGGCAACCCCTCGCTTTGAGGTTCTCTCCACGTTGTTTCTGGTCCGGTTCTTTCCCCGTGAGATCCTCTGACCCCTGGTCCTCTCCCCAAGGACCGATGATGTGGCGGTGGTCGCTTCCGTTGCTTCTCCTGCTGCTGAGGTGGTGGGCCCTGGGGAAGCCATCCCCCGACGCCGGACCCCATGGCCATGGTAGGGTGCATCAGGGAGCCCCCCTGAGCGAGGCCCCGCACGATGACGCCCACGGGAATTTCCAGTACGACCACGAGGCGTTCCTGGGACGAGACGTGGCCAAGGAATTTGACCAACTCAGCCCGGAGGAAAGCCAGGCCCGACTCGGGTAGGATGCCGGGAGCCGGGCAGAGGTGGGCGGTGGGACAGAACTGAACTCACTGGAGAGGTCGAGGCAGGAGACTGGACAGAACTGTGGTACTCGCCCCCTGGGAAAAGGCAGAGTTAACCCTGAGGCTGAGGGGGACCTGAGTCGCCAGCACCCCTGTGCCTCCAGCCCACTCTATGCCTCTGTCTGGACTTTCCTCCAAACCGGTCACCAAAAACTCTCCATAGAGACTGAAGAAATGAAATTTGAGAAGGATCCCAAGCTCAGAATTCAGATTCAACTGAGAGGGACGGAGTCCGAGACTCCCTGCGGAGGAGACTGGCCATTTCTATGTGGAGGACACTTGTAGCACGGCCCTGGAGACAAGCAGGCCACTGCCTGCACGTGTGCTTTAAAATTACCATTCTTGTTTTTACTGCTTTGAGATAGAAACTCACTGTGTAACACCAGCTGGCCTGGAACTCATTTTGTGGACCAGACTGGTCTAGAATGCAGAGATTGGCCTGCTTCTGCATCCCAAGAGCTGGCCTTAAAGGCGTGCGCCACCACGCCGGGCTAACAGGTTGTAGTTTTAATCTGGGTTGCAGGGCTGAGCTGGAGAGGGAGGACCCAAAATTGATCTGCCCATTCAGGGAAACGGCAGAGCTGTCAGGCCGAGCCTGACAGAGGGGCGGCCCTGAGGTGGCAAGAGGCGGAGCTTCAAGGTTAACAGAGACCCGGGTGCAGTTAAGATGCCAGACTCACTGTTCCCACTTCAACGCAATCCACTTAGGGTTGGTGTCTGTGCAGAGTTTGGGGGCGGGGCTAGAGTAGAGGGTGTGCCTTTGGTTTGAGCCAGGTGCTAATCCACATCTCGAGCACTTCCTATAGGGGAAGGGCTAAACAAAGGGGGGCGTTTGGATGGGCTGGGTGCCGAGATTAAATGTGTCTCTCAGTTCATCTGGTCGCCTTTCCAGTTGTGCATGGCCGGGTCTCTGAGGAATGGAGTCAGGGCGGGCAAAGACCTGGGGTTCGGAGATCTGTCAGTGACAGCCTCCTGATCCTGGCTGGAGCACAGTTTTAATCGCAGCACTCGGGAGGCAGAGGCAGGTGCATCTCAGCGAGTTCAGGACCAGCCTGGTCTACAGAGCGAGTGCCCGGACAGCCAGAGCTACACAGAGAAATCCTGTCCTGAGAAACAGAAAAACAAAAACAAAATTTCTTTTCTTTCTTTCTTTTTTTTTTTTTTTGTTTTTGTTGTTGTTTTTGTTTTCTTTTGAGACCGAGTCTCTCTTACATAGTCCTGGCTGTCCTGGAGACTAGGCTGACCTCGAACTCACAGAGATTCTCCTGCCGGGATTAAAGGTGTGCATTACCACACCCTACCCTTTTTTAAAATTTAAAAAAGATTTACTCATATTAGTGTGTGACTGGGTGTTTTTCCTGCGTGTACGTGCACCATGAACACGTCTGGTGCTCACAGAGGCCAGAAGAGGGCGATGGAGCCCCTGGACCCTGAGTTACCGATGCTTGTGACCTGCCCTGTGAGGTTCAAGGGACTCAAATCCCAGGTCAACAAGAGCAGCCATAGCTCTAACCAACCGAGCCATCACCTAAGTCCCCACGTTTTGTGCTTATGTAGACACAAGAGTGTCTCTGCCAGAAAGGAAGGGGCCTAGGTGGGCGGGGTCAGGATTGAGATTGACTGCATCTCTGCTTTAGGGTTGGGGGCCTCCTTGGGCAGGGCCAGGGAATGACCCTTGTCCCCCTCGCAGGCGGATCGTGGACCGCATGGATCTTGCTGGAGACAGCGACGGCTGGGTGTCCTTGGCTGAGCTCCGTTCATGGATCGCTCACACGCAACAGCGGCACATCCGTGACTCGGTGAGCGCTGCCTGGTTCACCTACGACACGGACGGCGACGGGCGCGTGGGCTGGGAGGAGCTGCGCAATGCCACCTATGGCCACTACGAGCCCGGTATGCCCACCTCACGTTTGTCCTTTGACCTCTCTCTTAGGACTTTATCTCTGACACTTCTCCATTTCTGATCTCGCTTGCTCTTCCTTCTGAGACCCCTCCTGTGTGACAGACACATCCCTGATGAGAAACACCGACCGTCTGTGCGATGTTGTCCTGACCCGCATCTCCGTTTCTTTTTGAGACAGTCTCTCCATGCAGCTCTGGCGTCTTAGTGTTACTGTTGCAATGATGGAACATCAAGCTGGGGAGGAGAGGGGTCACTTGGCCTCGGCTTCCACAGCGCAGTCCCTCCCTGGGGGGGAGGGTAGGGACCTGAGGCAGGAGCTGATGCGGTCGCCATGGAGGGAGCTGCTCCGTAGCTTGTTCAGCCCGCTTTCTTTTTTCTTTCTTGTTTGTTTGCTTTGTTTTTCCAGACAGGCCTGACCTCTGTGACCATGTGTCTCCCCACCTCTGTCCTTCCCAGGGGAGGAATTTCACGACGTAGAGGATGCTGAGACCTATAAGAAGATGCTGGCTCGGGATGAGCGGCGATTCCGGGTGGCCGACCAGGATGGGGACTCCATGGCTACCCGGGAAGAGCTGACGGCCTATCTGCACCCCGAGGAGTTCCCTCACATGCGGGACATCGTGGTCGCTGTGAGTAGACTGCAGACAGCCTGCTTCCTAACCCTGTCCTACGTCCCCTCATCTTCCACACGGCCGCCAACACAGATGTGGGGACAGCAGCCTCTCCCCGTCTCCTCTGCATCCAGTGCCTGGCACCCCCTTATCAGACCTTGTGCTCTCCCTGGCCTGAGCCTCAGGTGAACCCCAATTGTGTCAGGGCCCCGGGACAACATAGTTTATTTGACATGCACTTACAACACCCTGTAATTTAAGTAAGTCTCAGATGCCAGGAAGGAACATTTTGCATTCAGGTGCTGTGGAGGCCAGAAGAGGGCGCTGGACCACCTGGACCTGGAGTTACAGATGGTTGGTTGTAAGCGGCCCACTGTGGGTGCTGGCAACTGAACCCAGGCCCTCTGTAGGACCAGCCAGTACTTTTGTTTTGTTTTGTTTTGAGACAGGGTTTCTCTGTGTTGCCCTGGCTGTCCTGGAACTCGCTCTGTAGACCAGGCTGGCCTCCTGTATGCTGGGATTAAAGGCAAGTGACGTCACGCCTTGTTAGCCCTGCGTTTATAAGTGTGTATCACCAGGCCCATCACATGTGTTTTTTGAGTAATCCAGCTCATGTGTGGCGTTATAGTTTACCAACTACACTGTCTTCCTAGGTCCTGAAGTTGTTTTGTAGTGCAGTTGATAGAACCCAGGGTCATGAATATCAAGCCCTGTACTTCTGAGCCACACCCCCAGGCCTTCACTGGGGGATTCTGGGTAGGGGCTTTACAGCTGAGCCACACCCGCAGTGTTTAGGTGCTTCATCTTCTACTGGATGCGTTTGAATGTAAAAGTGGGAAACAGGACGGGCGTTGGTGGCGCACGCCTTTAATCCCAGAGCTCAGGAGGCAGAGGCAGGCGGATCTCTATGAGTTCGAGGCCAGACTGTTCTACAGAGGGAATTCCAGGACAGCCTCCAAAGCAACACAAAGAAACCCTATCTCGATAAAACCAAAAAACAAAACAAAACAGCCCTGATCCATGAAGAAGTGGCTAAGAGCGCTTGCTGTTCGTGTAGAACA